AAAATTATATATACAATATATAATTGTATATAGAATCTATATTTTTATTATGATATATATTTTATTAGTTGCTCTACCACTTTAAGAAGATTGTTGGGAATAAAAACTTTGAGATTGCATATAAAATTCCCATTTATATTATGATATACATATTTTTCCGTTTTATTATATGAAGCAATGTAAGATGTATTTTATGACTTTTCTTCTGGATGAATTTCATATTGTATGGGTAATAAGACCACCATGGAAGGGCAACGACAGTTATTATAGATGCCGGAGGAGTGACTTTACTAGAGTGGAACGCATGGTGCATTCCAATTGCGATCCGGAAACAACACTGAAACCTCATGTGACCGGAATGAGGAAGCAAGCTGGAGTGGAACGCATTATGCGTTCCACTCGCGACTACAGACCACAACCCGGAAGTAGCACCAAAATTCACACGTGACCGGAACCAGGAAATACACGCCGACGGAGTAATGGAACGCAAGGTGCGTTCCAGAAGAGAAACCCAGCGAATTTCGATTATAGAAAGTATTTAAAGATGGACATGGACTTACTAATACCTATGCAGCCAACTGAGGAAGCCAGGTGAGGTGAAACGCGTTTTGGCATTATTTATATGTATTTTTTCTTATCTTATAAATTTTATGTTATCAGTATTCAATAAATAATTTTGTTTTTACTTCTCCATCCTCTGGATCCTCTGCAATTTATTATTGAGAACAAGCCTCCAGTGGATTCATCTACTATCCTTATAGGTTCGCGAACGGTTCGCCATGAATGCTGCTGATTGGCTGGAATGTGTCTGCTGACTGTTAGGTACAGGGTCAAAGTTTACTCAATGATGAGTCCGTGGCGAACCGTTCGTGGCGAACCGTTCGGCGAACCGTTCGGGACATCACTATTACCCAGATGTTAAGGGTGTGTAAGGGGGGATCCTTTATCTTAAGAAAACACAGAAGATTTCTACTGATACAAAATACCAGTATTATAAAAATTCCGGACCAAAGAAAACAGTGAGACAATTGACCAAAATAAAATGGAAGAAAATGCAACAGAACAGTAGAATGATTGGTACTGGTTGTCTAGTAGATGTAAAGATCTGTAAATGTTTGTATTATCGCCCTTAGCACAAGCATCTAATAAGCCAATCTGTCTGGAAAAAAACGCAATGAGATTCCTGAGTTAGAGTCAAGCCAAGTGTATATATCTTAATAGCACTTTGCAAGTAGCATCATTATACTGTGAAAAATACACACATTGCTTGTTTTTATTTATTTCTCTATTTATTTAGCTTAGTTTGCAGGTGTATTCATGCATTTAAGTATTTCTTGTTAACATTTAAAACATGCTGTTCTTGGTGTGAAAATCACATTGAGAATGCACATGAAAATGTTATCATTTTGTTACAATATATGAAAAGAGCATATGGTTTATTTTGTATTAGCCCCTTACTTATTCCTTTAACATCCTGGATAATAATTAAGTTAAAGATTGTTAATAGTTAAAGGGAAACTATAGGTTAGTAATACAAAATTGTATTCCCAACCTTTAATGCACCTCTCCTGCAGCGCAGAAAGGGTTAAAAAGCCTTCTGTCACTTACCTGAATCCAACGCCGATGTCACTCCTCTCCCATAGGAAAGCATTGAAGCAATATATAATCAGCCATAGCGAAAGGACGTTCAGCATCAGCTAGGTGACCAAAAGTTGACGTATGACCTGGAAGAACCTCTAATGGCTGTCAGGTAGACAGCCATTACAGGTTGGGTCAACCCTGCAAGGCAATTTCTCAATAACTGCAATAATTACCTTTGCAGGGTTAAACTGGCAGGGACACGGCACCCAGACCACTTCAATGAGCTGAAGTGGTTTGGGTGCCTATATTGTCAGTTTAAAGAGATATTCTTCTCTCAAAACTACTTCTACTTAATGGAGTCCCTGGCTGAAGCCTTACCTTGGATGTATTGAACCGTTTTGTGATGTTTTCGGCCTATTACTGACTGCCCACTGTGAGTATCTACTATTACTCGCAATATGCTGTCAGCAATAGGCTAAGAGCATCAGTTGATGCGCTCAGCCAATCACCATCGCTTATGTTTCTCAATAATTTCCTTCTCTTTTATGGATGTAGGCAGAGACAGGAACAAGAGAGTGCGGATAGGTTTAATATGTGTTAAACCATTCTAACATGCTTTAATTTCTCAAGGTAACATTTTGTCTAGGATCTCAAGCACTCCAGAATAATTATTTGAGATTAAGTTGTTTGGAATAAGGTCCCTTTAAGTAAGATTGCTGGATAATAGTCACATTAAGTTGCGTTGGAAGAATCAATCAATAGTTTGAAAACAGGCTGGATGCTTTTGCAGAAAAAATTACACAATTGTTTGAAACAAAAAAAATGTGTATAGGCAATGTTGACCGAATAAAAATGAATTTGCCTTTTAAATCACAAAACATATGGAATTTATTCTCTAAACAGTTCATTAAAAACCTAAAATTGGAAAAAAAAATCTGAGGCCAACTTAGTAAGGCTGCCAATGTAGATTAGCTGGAATTTTTTTTCAGAATCAGTCATCTCCATTTGCCTAAATTTAGTCAGTTTGACTTCATTTCAGCACATTTCCTTATTTATATAATAATCCCTTGTGTATCCTTTTGAACTAGAATAGTATTTATTAGCAATGCTGTTTCATTCTTGATCAAAATATTATTGTTGTAGTTTTGACTTTGATGAAACTATCTAGCTATGCAATTAAAAGTTTTGTTGTAAAGTTACTAATTATTTTATTTTCCATTTGTTTTCAATGTATTCTATTATTTACATCACTTTTGCCCTCATTCAATTAACTGTTCATTGCCTTTTCATATAGATGTACATGAATAAGTCATGTTTGTATATATTATCTCAGTAGCTAACCATTTCCTTGTATCGTTAAAACAGAACTCCCACAGAGTTCCTTCACTGTTATGGACGTTTACTGTAGATTGAGAGTTTGAAATGGAAATTTTAACTAAAAGATACATTAGGAATTAATTTTAGAATATAAATAGCAAGGGCTGCCGTACACTCAATATCAATCAAAGGTCAACATACAAACTGCAGGTTTCTTTATTTCATTATTTAACAATGTCTGACCAGGACACATTGAGCTTTCTCTGTTTTTAATTATTCATCTTATATGCCATTGTTAATAGATGACACCTTTAATAAGCACTGCTTGTGCAAAGCCTTCAAGCAAAGAACAGATGAGTTTTCCTCGGTCAGTCAAAACGCACACTGCCTATATTGTTTGTTTACTCTTGAGGTCAGTAAGAAACACTCTGATAGGACGTGAAATTACTACCGGTATTCATATCAGGATTATGGCTCGAGGGCTTTTTGTGCTGTGAGTGGGAGGAGTTACCCTAGGGGTCAAGTCCTGGGTAATAAAGTGTGGGAACTCACCCAAGATCCAACCCCCCTCCCGCCCCCCAAAAATTATATGCACTCGTATATATATATATACATGCGTGCACACATACACTGACAGGTGCACACACACACATACTCAGACACACACACACACAGATACACACAAATACACACACACATACTCAGACACACACTTACACACACACACAGACACACACACATACTCAGACACACACAGACACTCAAAGACACACAGTCACAGACACACACATACTCAGGCACACACACACACACTCACAGACACACACACATACACTCACAGACACACACAGACACTCACACACACTCACAGACACACACACACACTCACAGACACACATACACTCACAGACACACACACACACATACTCAGACACACACACACACACACACACTCACAGACACACACACATGCACTCACAGACACACTCATACACACACACACACAGACACTCACACACACTCACAGACACACACACACACACTCACAGACACACACACACACACAGACACACATTCACACACTCACAGACACACACACACTCACAGACACACATTCACACACTCACAGACACACACACACATACACTCACAAATTATTATTTTTTTAAATTTAAAAAAGTCCACCCAGCCTCCCTACCTAGAGAGCTGGCGTGGACCTGTCCCTGGGGTCCAGTGGGACTTCAGTGTGGCGGGCGGCTGTGTCCTCTCTGATCTGCTCCCATTCGCTGTGCGGGCTGTCTACTGATGCCGGTAGCTGGAATATGACGTCATATTCTGGCTCCCGGCATCAGCAAATGGTGCGTGAGGGAGCAGATCAGAGAGAGGACACAGCTCCCTCGCCACGTCTGACAGGGAGACAGCCGCCCACCGGCTTATGTTCTAAGCATCTAACAATTTTAATACTTTAATATCTGCATTAATGTGATTTGATTATACAGGGCTCAGTGCTAGACAATACCCTAAATTAACATTTTAACCAATGTAATAATGTTTAAAAGACATTGTGCTGTGAATCCAACCCAGGGCTGGAAAAGGGAAAAAAACTGTAGTGTGTGTGTATCCAGGGGATGTAGTGAGCGTGCATATGTGTAAGGGACTGTAGTGTCTGTTTGTTTGCATATGGCTGTATGTATGTATGTATGTACAAATGCTATTGTGTGTGTGTAAGGGATGTAATGTGTGGTGGGGGTAGGGGATTCAGGATGAGCAAAATATTACTTGGTATAACATATTTATTATATCATTAATTTTAAAGGGACACTATAGTCACCCAGACCACTTCAGCTTCATGAAGTGGTCTGGGTGCAATGTCCCTCAGGTTTTAACCCTTCACATGTAAACATAGCAGTTTCAGAGAAACTGCTATGTTTACATAGCAGGGTTAATCCAACCTCTAGTGGCTGTCTTCCTGACAGCCGCTAGAGGCGCTTATGCGATGCTGGATGCGAAACTCGCATCCAACGTGCAGAGCGTCCATAGGAAAGCATTGAGAAATGCTTTCCTATAGACAGTTTGAATGTGCGTGCGGCACTTGCCACGCATGCAGATTTCGCTCCACTCGAGAGTTGACATCGGCGGGGGAGGAGAGGTCACCAGCGCAGAGGGAGCCCGGCGCTGGATAAAGGTAAGTGGCTGAAGGGGTTTTAACCCCTTCAGCGCCACGGGAGGGGGACCCTGAGGCTGAAGGTCCCCCATGGATTATATAATGTCAGGAAAACGGGTTTGTTTTCCTGACACTATAGTGATCCTTTAATAAAATTTAATAATCATAAGTTTTTTTAATGTTTGTATTTATTATTTTCCATTCCCCTTTTTAAATTTTTTTTTTTTAACTCTGACCAAAGGAGGGTGTGCATCCTGGTGGTCCAGTGGGTTGATTGCACTCTCTGGGTGTGCGGACGATGTTTCTCTGATGATCTCCAGTATCACTGAGAGTGTTGCCATGGTAACCTGTGGCAACATACACAAAGCAACGCACCACCGGTCATGAAGGGACTCTTATATGGAGAAAATGCTCTTTATTCACGCACACTCCCAGTCACCAGAGAGTGTTCATTTAAATGTTTATGGACATTAATGTGTGTCCTATAAGCACTAAATTAAATGTTTTATATTTAAATGAAATGTTTTTACTTCCAGTTACTTTAAATAGATTTAGAACAAGCCCTCACCATTTCCACTTGGCTACATGGTTCTTTAGCAAAAGGTTACGTGACACTAAGTATACAATGTCCGTGTCACATTTTTCCATACTTTTCATCTAAAAGGTTTTACTTTTTTTTACTGCGTCCTTAATCAATATATTTTTGCCACCAGAATGAACTTGATGACGTGTTTTCCAATCTATTTATACAGTAAATATATGTAATTAAACCCCTAATGGACCAAGGCTATTTTTCACTGTAGGACCACAGCAATTTTCCATTCATGCTGTATGCTATCCAGCCATTATTTCAGCCATTGTTCTTATTAAATGTATTCGCAAACATTATATACTGTTATTTTAAAGTCTGCATAGGGCTTTCATTTGATACCTTATTTTTAATGTAAAATCCACCACAAATACAATATAAAAAGTTGACATATTTACCTAAAATATATGTTTTTAACAGTTTTTCCTATAATTGCTTTTCTATAGCTAGGGCATCTATAAAAAGTAGCAATTGATTTAGATGATAATGCTCATTTGAACAGGCCCTCGTTACTTCTGATATAATTGATGTCGGCTGAAGAGGGCCAGTCAGAAGATTCAGGTAAGTATAACCTACCTTCTACTACTCCCCCATGGACACTAGAGCCCCAGTGGCCATGTCACCATCAGGTGTCTTCTGAAATTATGCCAGGACCCCAGACGGTGACAGAGCCACTTTAAATATAATTTAGGAAATGCAGAGAATGGGCAAAGAGGCTCACTCACAGGTTGTAGGATCAATATTTCCCTTATTATTTAAAAAATCTGATGATCTGTAATATTGCTTTTGTGGAATAAATCAGCCCTGAATTATTTATGGGTTAAAAAGAGATTACAAACTGGTTTACCTTCAACCTTTTTTTAATCCAATATTCTATAGTTTGAATCACATAGATTTAATTAGTATGTAATAACCGAATTGAAATCAATTAAAAAGTAAGGTATTGTTTTGCATTAGTTGCTGGTTTGCACAGTCCATTACCTGTTTTGTTAAGAGAGTGGGTTGTTTTCCAATTCATTAATCAAGCAGGGGAAGAAAGGTAAGAGGTAGAAGTCAAAGTAACTTCCTGGTCTTGGATCTCATCCGTCCTTCGTCTGATGAAAAGTGACATTGAAGGCCATTGGTTGATAATGAATAATAAAAAGAATATTCTTTATGTCTTTTAGAATTTTGACTGTCACAATGGCAGGAGTGGACCCTGAACAGTTTGAAATTATTAAAAATCTAAGAGATAGCAAGAAATATTACTTGTCCTTACAGGTTGCCATGTTTAAATAATATACCTCTATCCAGTGATTTAGAAACTAACTCTGCTATCTAAATAGATAACAATAAAACAAGAAGTGGAACCAGACAGGTTTAGGAACCGGAAGGTATAATAAAATAAGAAAGTGTACAAACCAAGCCAAGGGTCAGTGCAGGAGCATGCAATGGAAAAACAAAGCCAAGACAAGGTCAGGTCTCCAGAAGAAAGGTTAAAATGATAAATGAGCTGAAACAAGAAACACGGAACGCACAAAAATCCTGTGTATCACGTAAGGGTTGTGGACAAATAGAGACATTAATTCAAGTCAACCAATACTTATCTTGTAAGCGTTTGCAGCTCAGTATACATGTGCAGGCCATTTATTCACATGAAGCACAGGCAGGATCGATGTGCCTTTTGGTTTTCTTCTGGTGTAAACTCTATTAATGTCATTTAGTGAGAATTAAAAGTGAATTTCAAATTTAAGGTTAAAATATTTCTGCACGCCATGAAGAATCTGTGATTGAAATGAAACATGTAAGGCCACCTTACGTCCTTTTGAAGGTGGTGCTGTCAATTGGATACCCGTATTCTCATTCCAATGATTCCAATCAATACTGCCAAGTTCCAAAATGGGAGACATTGACATCTCCATGGAGAATAGTATCGAGTGTACGAAGCTGCGACATACCGATACTCAACCTCTATGTCTTGAATTCAGCTCTATGAATTGTTACTTTCTTTCTATTGTTATTTATAGTGAACACTGTTATTCTATGAGGAATAGATGCCTCCCAGCTGTCTCTTTCACGGTATCTTCTCTTCTTAGAACATTTAGTGTGAGTATATTCATAACACATTATTTGGTTTATTAGTACATGCACTATCATGCTAACATTTTTCTTTATTATTATTATTACTACTAATCAAATATTTATTTATATTGACACTATATAATCTTTCTTGACAATGACCATTTTATCCTATTTTTAACCTATTTCTTTAGTACAAAATTTACATGTGCACAATAATAAGAATTGTGTATACAAAAATGTAAAATAAGTTAAAAAAAGAGTATCCGTCACTGGAAAAAAGTAAAGTAAGAGGTGCATAATGGCTAGATGTCTGGACTCTCATCAAGCCAGTCTCTGAGTAGAACAATCAATCTATTCTACCAGCCTGACTTAACTGTCTAAGACAGATTCTTTTGTGGACATAACTGACTATCTTTGTTCCCAGAAATGCAAGGTAAGGGAGGTAGCATTTTTTAATAGGTAACTCCAGGTGCCATGTACATGTCAGGATTCTGTGGAACCTGAACGCACAGGCTGAATCACTCGAAGATAATCTGCATACCAATCCTTAGAATGGCCGGGTCAATGAACAAACAGAGTCAGTATAACAAGTCGGGGTCAAAGGAGTACAGAAGACAGGATAAATGTATAGACAAGAGCCAGAAAATATTACCAAACAATATCACAAGAGGAACACACTATTGGGCTACCAAGAACCACAACAGGACAACAAGGAATGGGAGAGGGTAGTATATATAAGCATCACTTACTTCTGATTGGTCTAGTTCCGCTTGGAATTGACCACTATTCGTGTCGTGGAATGTTCTTGACCTTCCTAATCTGACCTTTAATGTCATTCATATAAGCCGAATTCGGTCTATCAAATTCTGCTTTCATTTTGGTAAACACTGAATTCAGTAGTTTATTCGGTTGCATATTTCCCAGGCGGAATGCCGGAGGGGATCATGGCACCCGCAGCCAACCTGACAGGTAAGCAGGCTGAAAGCCTGACAGTACCAAGATACCCTCAATATTCCTCCAAATGCACAAAATAAATCACAGATCTGATACACTAGACTAGATAACAGACACAGCTTTATTCCACTGGCCACAAAAACTAAAGAGTTCAATCTGCAGACTACGATTTCTGTTAAGCTCAAGAGACTGGTGGCAAACTCAACTCTGCTCCTACAGTAAGAGTCCAGCTAAACCTTTGCTACTACTGAGATGTTCTGAGATGAAGCTTAGCATTGTATTCATGCAGGATCTTTTCTTTATATTGTTATGTTCTGTCAACTAATGTTTAACGCTTCTTTACTTATAATTCCAGAAAATGTAGCACAAGGTAATTCTACTGTCAAATCTAATAAGGGTCTTCCAAATAATTGTGTTATGAAGACAAGATAACTGGCAGCAAGTATTGTTTTATCTCTAAAAAAAAGGATTAGTCCCATTATTTGAAAAAATTAAACGAATAATGAAACAATCGAGTACTATGCCAGTATTGTAGAGCATTTTGAAAGAATGAATGCCTATTTTTTGTTATACTAAGACATAGAATGTCAGCGTGAAGATTAGCTATTCTTGCTATAGGCTGAGCGGTTAATAGAATGTTATCCTGGCCGATTGACAGCCAAGAACAATGGGTCCAGCGGATGAAGATCTTCCTTAAAATTAAGTAGAGCGCTGTATTTCCAAATTCACGACATATGAGATTCTCATTATTTAAAGTGTTAATTTAGAACCAATAAAAAAAATATATGTTCTTTAAAAAAAGGCATTTAAGTTTGTGAGCTATTGAAATGACCATTAAAAGGAGACAAAATGCAGTGAAGCAACCCAGAGCCCTAAAACCAAAGGCCCCATAACAGTATCACATAATAACACCAATAACTAATACACAGTTACTATTACACAAAACAGTATGCTTGAAATTTAAGCCATAAAGATGTAACAGCTTATTAAGTTGCACAATTAATGTGTACATTAGAACTGGAACAAAGTCCTTTATTAACGTTAAAGGCCAATTACATAGAACATAAGAATAAATCATTGGGGACCTTGTTCTGCATTTAGTGCTGACAGCAGTAATAATGAAATGCTCCTCTGTAGTTAGTTATTTGAAACTTTTTGTTTTAATTTAGTTATTAAAATTCAGGCAACACGTGTCAATTTTGGTGTTAATTTTTCTGCAGTAATTAGTGGGTGTAAGAACATTAAAGATTGCATTCACTGCAATATTCTTTTAAAGTGTGGGAATGTCACTTCTCTGGAAATTAGGCAATTGTGATGGTCTCTTTTCATGAGATGTTCCCCTTTCTTTTGAATGTACAGTGGGACCTCGGTTTACGAATTTAATGCGTTCTCCGGGACGTTTCTTATTGCGAAACATTTGTAAACCGAAACGTGGTTTCCCATAGGAATGCATTGAAAACCAATTAATCCGTTCTGAAGGTCAGAAAAAAGTCAAAATTAGCTGGAATGGAAACAAACCCACAATGCAGAACGCA